AAGTGAGAGGTGCTTCTCAATGGGATACATTTGGTCCTTTTGCTTAAAACTCAAGTATAAATAGATGACATCAAGTCTTGCCCTCAGAAGTTTATTGCTCACTGTCCTCTACCTCTCCTACCAACCAAAGAAGAAAATAAGACCTCAAAACGAAGGCATCGGGCTTCCCTGGTGGCGCAGTGGTTGAGAGTCCGCCTGCCGATGCAGGGGACACAGGTTCATGACCCGGTCCGGGAAGATCCCACGTGCTGCGGAGCGGCTGGGCCCGTGAGCCGTGGCCGCTGAGCCTGCGCGTCCAGAGCCTGTGCTCCGCGACGGAGACGCCACAACAGTGGAGGCCCGCGTACCGCAAAAAAACAAAAACAAAAACAAAAACGAAGGCATCTCCTCCCAGTACTCAGGTTATTATTTCCCATTTTCTGACCCCTATCTTCTTTTTCTTACATAGGCCTGAGAGGAGCTACCTTGTAAACCAAATCTACAGTTTCCCTAGCAAGTTCCAATGACATCCCTCATTTAGAGAGAACTACCTTCAGGGTCTTGTAAACGAACTCATTCCGTATTTCAATATTCTCAGAAAATAATGCTTAAATCCAAAACTGCCCTCCCCACGAAAGTTTTACTCTTTTCTTTGAAAGCAAAGATAACCTTAATTTCAGGGAGCTATTCAAGAGAAGAACACAGGGTACATTTCTTCCAAGGCAGAAGCACACCAAGATTTCTCTGATAGTATTTAGAATAGAGTTACAACGTTAAAAAAAAAAAAAAAAAAGAGTGAAAAGAAGAGAATGTTATTGACCAAAAAAAAGCTGTCATATAGCTATAGACTTATAGGCTATGAAATAGAAAAAAATCTGCAATTTTTCAAGATTCTTCTGGCAAAACATTCTTTGGAATCTTTTTTTTCTGAGAGCTGAAAAGCATTTTTCTAAGATGCTGCCAGCTCTAAAAACAACCTTTCTGATCTCTTGAAAAGCCAAGTTCTACTTTTAATAGAGCTATGTACTTTTGGTTTCAAAGAAAAAAGTGAAAGAGAAGGAACCACAGCCAAAATGGTAAGTTTACCCTACTCATGCCTCAAGCTGTACATAATGATTTCACACAGTACTTATGAAGAAGGGATCAAATTTTTCCTTTAAAAATAGAACATATACCTCTATGTCACATATGTAATGTTTAAGTATAAGGAGCAAAAGCACCCCCCTTTCACTCCAAAACCCAGTCAAAAAAACAAAAGTTTATATGGAGAGACACAGTCATGAACAGAAGATCTCTAATAGACATCAGAAGCAAAAGTGACAAAAGCAAAAATAAACAAGTGGAACTACATCAAACTGAAAAGCTTCTACACAGCAAAGGAAACCATCAACAAAATGAAAAGGCAACCTACAGAATGGGAGAATATATTTGCAAATCATATATGTGGTAAGAGATTAATATCCAAAATATATTAAAAACTCATACCAAAAAACCCCAAACAATATGATTTTAAAATGGGCAGAGAATCTGAATAGATATTTTTCCAAAGAAGATATACAGAGGGCCAACAGGTATATGAAAAGGTACTAATCACTAATCATCAAAAAATGCAAATCAAAATAAGCTATTACCTCATACCTGTTACAACGGCTATCCTCAAGAAGACAACAGATGGTAAATCTTGGCAAGAATATGGAGAAAAGGGAACCCTTGTGCACTGCTGGCAGGATTGTAAATTCCACAGTGCAGCCACGATGGAAAACAATATGGACATTCCTCAAAAAATTAAAAATAGAGCTACATATGATCCAGCAATCACACTTCTGGGTATATATCCAAAGGACATTAAAACAGGATACTGAAGATATATCTGCACTCTCATGTTCACTGCAGCATTATTCACAATAGCCAAGCTATGGAAACAACATAAGTGTCCATCAACAGATGAATGGATAAAGAAGATGTGGAGATGTGTGTGTGTGTGTGTGTGTGTGTGTGCATGTGTGTGTGATGGAATATTATTCAGCCATGAAAAGGAAGGACATCCTGCCATTTACAGCAACATGGATGAACCTTGAGGACATTAGGCTAAGTGAAATGAGTCAGACAAACTGTATGATATCACTTACATGTGCAATCTGAAAAAGTTAAACTCATAAAAACAGAGGCTAGACTGGTAGTTACCAAGGGCTGGGGGGTGGGAGAGAAAGGGAGGTGTGGGTCAAAGAGCACAAACTTCCAGTTATAAGATGAATAGGTTCTGGGGATCTGATGTACAGCATGGTGATTACAGTTAATAATAGTGAATTATATACTTGAAATTTGGCTAAAAGAGTAAGTCTTAAATGTTCTCATCATGAAAGAGAAATGGTAATTATGTGATGTGATGCAGGTGTTAGCTAACGCTATGGTGATAATGATTTTGCAACATAAAAGTGTATCAAATCAACATGTAACCTTAAGTAATATGTCAATGGTATCTCCATAAAAGCTGAAAAAAAAGAGATTTATAATAAAATCAAAATGGCTAAGTTAGTAACACCATGAGAGGTTGCATTAACAATGATAAATGTTAAAATGTTAAACATAAGGTACTATATCCAAAAATCTTGGTAAGACAAAAATTGTTTTTTAGTTCAGATTCTCCCATTTCCATAAAAGACTATTTTAATCCTCCCATGCAAAATGGACAGAATCTATGGGATTACTAGTATTTCGAATGAATTTTTTAAATTTTACTACAAAATTTACTAGAATCAGTCACTTAAGGAACTTATGTCAAATAACTGGTGTGCTCCAATATTTCACATTTCAACTTATTATTTTAGAGTTGTCAAGACACAATCTAAATCTAACAGGGAAAAAAACATGCAGGCTTCAAATAGCACTTAAAGAAACACAAAGAAGGAAAGTTAGAAGTCAAGGAGGATAATTCTGAGATAAAGGCTGAGTGGAGAAAAAGACAGAAATCTACTAGAGACCTTATCAGGATGCAGTGCTGCACTCTGCCACATTATCACTGACCTGTAACCTCTTCTCTGGCTCACAAACAACTTTTGAGTACTCTGGGACTAAGTGGATGTTTTTAAAAGTTCTTGTGTCATATTTACTTTTTCCGACGACCCTTATCAGAAGCCTGATGTACTCAAGCTCCATAATTCACATGCTCCAATTACCTACCTAACTTCATACCCAAGAGGAATAATCAGAGGCATAAAATGCCACCCTCATAAAAAGAAACGTAATGGGAATGATTAGGATTTAAAATGGACAGGCTCATTTTTAAGGGCACAGCCATAGGTAAGTAGCACCCACACTGTGCTCTAGATAACTATAAAAGAATCAAATAGGGTTTGTTTAAAAAAACTCCTTAATAAACATATAATAAATCCCTACCTTTAAAATGAGTTGTATTACAAAAGCCCAGTTCTTCACGAAGATGCATTTCCCCATAAAATACTACAAATGGTCATTCATTTCCAAAGCTGGCCCATCAATACCTATTTAAACCATAATCTACCGACATACAGTATAATGTGGAATGAAATGTGGTAAAAGTACCTGTAACACTTCAAATGCATATTAGTATCAATAGTTCAGCTGAGAGGATAGGAGCTTGGCAAAACAGATCCCAAAAAAATGGACTCCAGGGGTTACATATAACCCAAAATGTTTACACAATTATATATATATATATATTCCAGGGGTTACATATAACCCAAAATGTTTTCACAAATATATATATATATATATATATATATATATATATATGGGTAGTTTTCTTATGAGAGGGTCCACAGCTTTCCTGAGGTTCTCAAAGTGGTTATTCATATCCCCATAAAGGGAAAGGGCTTCTGTGCTATATAAAATTCAATTCTTCCCTACAAAGCCCTCAGGTAGAGTTTAACAGTGAAATGAGGCATCTTGAGAAGTTATGGTCCACACATGCTTACATATAATGATAAGCTCGTGGATGAAAAACTATCAAAAACCTTCCAGTAAAACTAAGTGAAGGGGGCTTCCCTGGTGGCGCAGTGCTTGAGAGTCCGCCTGCCGATGCAGGAGACGCGGGTTCGTGCCCCGTTTCGGGAGGATCCCACATGCCGCGGAGCGGCTGGGCCCGTGAGCCATGGCCACTGAGCCTGCGCTCCGCAAATGGGAGAGGCCACAACAGTGAGAGGCCCGCATAACGCAAGAAAAAAAAAAAAAAACTAAGTGAAGGAAATCCTAGAGTAAAGAATGCACTGCAAAAAAAAAAAAAAAGGAAAAAAATGTATAACTAAAAAAAAGAAAAGAACGCACTACAACATTTTATGGGGTCTGAACTGCCCATATAAGATGACACAGGAAGTTCGTGTGAAGTATTCAATAGAAGCTGACGATCCTAGTAGTATCCAATGTAAAGTAGATTCTGACCCATCAACAGTGTTTGTCTGCACAAACTGCAAGCAAACATTCCATATGCTTGTGAGAAATTCCACTTAAAAATCTTTCCCCATCCTAGCCAATTCACCTGGGCACTATATTACCATTATCTTAAAAAGAAAAATCCATCTATTACCTACACACAATTCAAACAAACAAAAATGTGTTTTTAAATGACCCTACCAAGTAATTTGAATGAGTACACCTTTTCTATTCATTTTGACCAAGCAAATCTGGATAGTAACTCGTTTTCATATAATTTTTGACGTAACTTTCAACTTTAAAATTTTTCTGTACACTGATATAACACAGTTAAGGCATTGTTCTTTCCTTAATTTAGGATAGTTTGGTTTTAGAGTGTTGTTGAAATAAAGTTGAACTGCATAGACTATAAGGCTGTTCTAACCAACAATGTAATTTCAGACTCATACCTACTTAAAATATTGTTTAATTACCTCCTCTTCTCAAACCATGAGTCCACAGCGTGGTCATTAAGGTGCTTCATTTCTCTGACCTCTCTCAAAACATTACTGTACTTGACACACTAGCAACTAGCTTTCTATGGGAAGGCTTTTCACAAGCCAAGCGTCACGTACCCCTCCTGCCTTCAGCAACTTTCTTCTGAACTCCTCTGTGGGGTTGTTGAAGGTAAGCTTTTCACAGCGGAGGTGATTCACTGGTGGATGGCCTTCAAGATGCAGGAATAAGTCATAATCAAAACGAACCTTCTTAGGTTCTTCCTAGAGGTTAAAAAAAAAATAAGAAGGAAAACAGAGACTTAGGCATAAATAGAAATTTGGAAAGCAAAGGTTTACTCCTGATAAGGATCAGAAAAGACTCAGACTACAGCACCGGGGAACTCTACTCGACGCTCTGTGGTGACCTAAATGGGAAGGAAATCCAAAAAAAAAGAGGGGAGATATGTATACGTATAGCTGATTCCCTTTCTAGTTAGTAGAAACTAACACAATAGTGTAAAGCAACTATACGCCAAGAAAAATTCATTCAAAAAAAAAAAAAGAAAAAGAAAGAAAAGAGACCCAGACATCTAACAGCTACAGTGTCAAAGAAGGGGGAGTACTGGGAAAAAAGTCACCATGGAACTATCTACAAAGCAAAATGGAAACATCTGAAAAATTAGTTTCTTGTCTTAGAGGAAAACCCAAAAGAATAAACTCATCATCTTTCTCGCAGTCTCTCAAGTGGTAGGACACCACCACCACCGCCACCCAACTGGAAACCTAAGACACCCCTGAAGCCACTCCTTCCCCTTCCCACTCTATGGGCCTACACCCATCACCAACAGCTGACATTTTCTCTTTTAAATACTTCTTGAACAAGCCGTCTAACCCATACTGCCACGCTCTTACTGATTCCTCAAACTACTATAAACTCCTTCCTCTAGTAGTTCTTCCTACCTCAGGATAGAGCATCACTTTTCTTCTTCACGCAGGCCTCAAAACTGTCCATAAGAAACAAAAATCTAGCCATTTTCACTCCTTGATTAAAATTTCACAAGTTCCCAATGCCATTAGAATAAAAATCTGAGCTCACCTAAATGCCACATAGGATTTTCACAATCTAGCTCTTGGTTCCATGTCTCACCACGCCCCTTCCACTCATCTGATGATCCAGCCACACATTGTGGTTGGTTGCTCCCAGAATTTACTCATTCTAGATTAACTCTGGGTTTCACCCTTGCTTTACATTACTAACTCCACTGCCGACCTCCATTCCTCCACCTTCTGCTTTACCTGGATAACTTCTACTCATCCCTCTCCATTCAGGTTTTATTTGGGGGAAGCCTTCCTTGAACTCCACTCCCAACTGCCTCTCCTCTGTTCTGTGTGCCTCTCTCTCTTATCCTTGAAACATCTTAGAATAACTGTCTTATTATCTCCCTTTACCCTGCTAAATCATAAGATCTTTGAAAGCAGGAATAATGGTTGAGTCCTCATTGTACCCTCAACAACTAGTTTAGTGCCCCATGCATAGTAGCAATGCAATAAAGTCTGTGAAATGAATGAAAATACGGCATTTTCCTGGAGGACAAAACAGCACCATATCCAAGAGAACACAGTGATTAAAATTCCATGATACTCGAGTTCTACTCTCCAGCCATTACTTTAGCTGGCTAAACATCTAAACCTCTCTACAGACATTCTCAGGCATCCAAGGGGAAATGAATACTGAGGATAATAATAACAATATTATGTATTTAACATTTATCTCATTTTCTTCTCATAGCTCTCCTTTGGGTCAGTTGTCAGCTCTGTTTGGCAGATGAGGAAATTAAAGCACTTAGAATGTATTACTTTATATAAAAACTCCCTGTGTATTATAGATATTAACCATCTCTGTGAAATGTTACTTTTTTCATTTGTCATTAGCTTTGCCATTTTACGTGTTTTTGATAAAAGCTATTTATGTTTTTTTAATAATAGCTTTACTGAGAAGTAATTCACATACCATAAAATTCACCCACTTAGAGTATAATATTTTGTGGGTTTTAGTACACTCACAGAGTTATAAAACCATCAATCACCACATTCAAATTTCAGGACATTTTCATTACTCCAGAAAGATATCTCAAACTCATTAGTGGTCCAACAGATCCCACACCCCCTGGCATCACTAATCTACTTCTGCTTCTATGGAGTTGCCTATTCTAGAGATTTCGTATAAATACATGAACATACATAAAATACATACACAATATGTGCTCTTTTGTGACTGGCTTCTTATACTCAGCATGATGGTTTTGAGGTTCATCCATGTTGTAGTATGTGTCAGTTCCTTATTATGGCCAAATAATAATCTATTATATGGGTATACCAGGTTTTGGTTATATATTTGTCAATAAATAGAAATGTGGGTTATTTCCATTTGGGGCTATTGTGAATAATGCTGCTATGAACATTTGTGTACAAGTTTTTGTATGGACATACATTTCCATTTCTCTTGGCTATACACCTAGCAGTGGAATTTCTGGGTCATAAGGTAACTCTGTGTTGAACATTTTTAGGAAATGCCTTACTGTTTTCCAGAGTGGCTGCACCATTTTAAAATCCCACCTGCAATGTATGAGGTGTTTATGGTTTTTTAAAACACAATATTTTCTAAAATTACATAGTCAAATAAAACGTTTTTCCTTTTTTAAAAAAGAATTTGTTATATGACTAACACGTGATGAAACAAAGTGATCTGAACCCAGTTCTTTTGACTAAAAAGTCTTAGCTCCGAGCGTGTAGAGAAAAGGGAACCCTCTTGCACTGCTGGTGGGAATGTAAATTGATACAGCCACTATGGAGAACAGTATGGAGGTTCCTTAAAAAACTAAAAATAGAACTACCATATGACCCAGCAATCCCACTACTGGGCATACACCCTCAGAAAACCATAATTCAAAAAGAGTCAATTACCACAATGTTCACTGCAGCTCTATTTACAATAGCCAGGTCATGGAAGCAACCTAAGTGTCCATCAACAGATGAATGGATAGAGAAGATGTGCCACATATATACAATGGAATATTACTCGCCATAAAAAGAAACGAAATTGAGTTATTTGTAGTGAGGTGGATGGACCTAGAGTCTGTCATACAGAGTGAAGTAAGTCAGAAAGAGACAAACAAATACCATATGCTAACACATATATATGGAATCTAAAAAAAAAAGAAAAGGTCATGAAGAACCTAGGGGCAGGATGGGAATAAAGACACAGACCTAATAGAGAATGGATTTGAGGACACGGGGAGGGGGAAGGGGAAGCTGGGATGAAGTGAGAGAGAGGCATGGACATACATACACTACCAAATGTAAAGTAGATAGCTAGTGGGAAGCAGCCACATAGCACAGGGAGATCAGCTCGGTGCTTTGTGACCACCTAGAGGGGTGGGATAGGGAGGGTGGGAGAGACACAGGAGGGAGGGAATATGGGGATATATGTATACATATAGCTGATTCACTTTGTCATAAAGCAGAAACTAACACACCACTGTAAAGCAATTATACTCCAATAAATATGTTAAAGACAAAAAAGTCTTAGCACCTGCAACTGTCAGAATGCAGGCATTACCTACTACAAATTCATGGTTTTCGCCTCTTCATCCAAACTTCCCCAGATCACAGTCTCTACTCATGTACTCACTACCTCTCACTTCTATTACTAATCTGGCACGAAACTTGCTCCTTCTCTCCTTGATCAGGGTGCCATTCTCTCCTGGTTTTCCTCACACTTACTGGCATTCCTCCTTATTTTTCTTCACAGTCTTCCCTTCTTTCTTCATTGAGTCTTCTTTTTTTTTTTTTTGCGGTACGCGGGCCTCTCACTGTTGTGGCCTCTCCCGTTGCGGAGCACAGGCTCCGGACGCGCAGGCTCAGCGGCCATGGCTCACGGGCCCAGCCGCTCCGCGGCATGTGGGATCTTCCCGGACCGGGGCATGAACCCGTGTCCCCTGCATCGGCAGGCGGACTCTCAACCATTGCGCCACCAGGGAAGCCCCTCTTCATTGACTCTTAAATGCATTTACCTTTTTGCAAAATTCCGCAGGGAGACATCGCCCATTCACAGGGAGTTAGTTCCTCCTTCATGACAGTGACTCCCCTCTCTACCTCCAGCCCAGCTCCCACTTGACTGCCATATGCTTGTGTTCCAGTCTAACCACACCTCCACTGGGGTGACCGGCAGCAACAGCAAATTCATGCATTATCTTAAACTGAAGTTATCTTCATGTGTCCTTTCTTCTATACTCTATATCATGACAAACAGAAACCTTAATTGCTTCCCAAGGGTAAAATACACAAAAGTCATCACTAAAGCTTCCTTCTCCCTTACTCATCACAGTCAAATGGTCTCTGAGTTCTGTTTAGTATTCTTCCTTAGGAACTCTCAAATCTATGCCCTTTGCTCTAGTCACGATAACTACTGCCTTAGCTTAGACCTTTATCACTCTTCATCTGGTCGCCTCCCTGTTTGTGAACTTACCCCTTTCTACCTACAACAATGACAAGAGAGTGATCTTTCTAACACAAAAATCAGATTACATCTTCCCACTGATATAAAAGCCTTTAACGGCTCATCACTTTCTACAGGATGAAATCCCACCTCCTGGTAATAACCATTATAGTCTTTAATACCTTTCCTGCATTGCTTTTGTTCTCTTACTCTACCTTGTCCTTCCACAATGTTGAAGCACTTGCTGTTCCCCAGTGTTTCATATTATCTCATTCATTTTGCCTTTCACATGTCGTATTCCCCATTGTCTAAAATGCCTTCCCTCCCAGCATACTTCCATCCTTTACCTGGTTAGTGCAAACTCATAATTCAAGACCTAGCTGAAGCATGAACTCCTCTGAAAAGTCTTCCTAACCCTCCCAACCCCATCTGAATTAGACATCCCTGTTACAGCATTCCTTTATTAATGTAATGATCACAACCATTTTTATTACTTACCTGCCTTTCCTCCAAACTGTAAAATAGTCAATACAACTTTAGAATTAATTTAAAAAATAAGGAGGGCGATTTTCTACCTTACAATTGGGAGTGTAAATTGGTAAAGCCTTTGGGAAAACACACTGGCAATATCTATCAACATACTAAATGCATGCAATGTTTAACCCAGTAATTCTACTACCAAGAATCTCTTCCACAGAAATATTCAAATATATGTGCAAAGATATATAGACAGATATAGATGTAAAATAAAATGTTCATGGTAGCATTGTTTATAATAGCAAAAAACAGGGATGATCTGCATGTAAGTATATCATTACCATGGAATACTATGCAGATATTCTTAAAAACTGACTTGGAAAGGCATATCGCTAAGTGAATTAAAGGCAAGTCACAGAAAAAATATTAAAATATGATATATTATGCCCTTGCCAATCTCTATATAGACATACTTTTTATCCATGCAAATGCATGGGGGAAAATCTGGAAAGGCTATACCAAATAGTTAACAATGATTAAATGAAGTGAAAGGAGTAACTCCTAAGTTTTATTCCATTCACTTTTACTAGGAATATACTCCAGCATACTTTTTTAAAGAGAAAAATACATTGATGAATATAATAATTACCAGCAGAAAAGGAGTGAGGTAGTAACAACACTTTACAGTTCACACCAGTTTAAAACCAAAAAAAAAAATTACTTTTCAGTAAAACTAAGGCTAAGTACCACATACAGTGACAATCTTTGTATGAATCCTGAGTGTGATTTTCTTTTGAAGTTTTTTTTTTAATAGAAAGTAAAAAGTACCCATAAATTTGTGGTCTGACCAACGGAATATCTTTCTTAGAGGGCTGACATCAATATGATGTCAATCTATGCTCCACAGAAAAGATTCTTCTTCAAAGTTCAAACAAGGAAGCATGTATTTATTCTCCATATAAAGCTGGTACATTTCCTAGAGGGTGGAAACCTGGTTTTAGCAATATCAAATTATCCCTCTCGGTCTGCTTCAGTCCTTGACATTCACTCGTGTACTTTTCTGAGGACAGAATGAAAGAGAGAAGCACGGGATCCTTTCAAACCTAAAGTGCTACAGTCAATTATGTTTCAGTGGGGCCTGTTGGTTTAGTTTCTGAAACACACAGATTCTCATGGATAGGCTTGTTTTGTTGAATACAAACACAAAATAAGAGAATAAACAAACATGAACTCATAAGAAGCACTGACACTCCACCACCCCTCTTGACTCTGACCTCTCAAATAAGTGAGCAAAACTGAAGCCAAGCTTATTGTAAGCAGGAAAAGTACAAGGATGGAGATGGGACCAAGGGCAGGGTGATATTATACACTGAATATGCAGTGGCAGGCCCCTTCCAACATCAGGTGGAGGTCTTTTTGCTGCTTTCTCTCATCTCCTATGCAAACTTGAAATAATACTTTTTCATAAACCGTTATTATAATGGATGTTCTTTCTACAAGACAGAGTTGAGTAAACTCCAGGGATAAATAAAATGATATACACTCAGAAGAAATGAAATGAACATTCTGGAGCAACAGCCTAGACCTATTAAATTTTCACACATGGATCATTTCAGTAGGATGGAGATCCAGAATGGAAGATAGCAAAAATTTGGTTTCTAAGACACTCTAAGAAGATAAATTAAGAAGAGATGACAGAGCAATAATTTTAATTAAAAAATTAAGAACATAAAGAAAAGTACTTAAAATACTACACCCATACATTTTCCACTGAGTTTAAAGAGATGTTAACACTTTCACCATGCTAGTTTACGTTTTTCTTTAAAGAAATAAAATTTTGTAAATTTGAGCTTCTCCATCCCTCCTTCCCCAGTAAGCCATGCCCTTTAAGTTCCTGTGCTGTCCTTTCAACTCATGCTCTTGTACTACATATGTGTCTCCATCACCTCATTTATTCTTGGCTTCAGTGGTTTATAAAACCATACATAAGTGATATTATAACCATATAATATATAATCATCATTTTTGTTTTTGAGACTTATCCATCTTGCTACATTAATTGCTAAATAGCATTTTGTGTATTATTAACCCACCAGTAATTGATCCACATCTCTACAATTAGGTGTATACTACTTTTTCATATTACAAACACTGAAATATGTTTCATTGTGCACCTGTGAAAAAAGCAATAATTATTATGTATAAAATCTTAAAGAAAATCTAAAAATAAAAATCAGCTAATCTGGACACTAAACAGAGTATCTACTACACAGTGGTCAGCTGAATGTCTGTTTTACAATGGCCCCAAAGAAATAACTGTTTTCCATCTCAGGTGCATCTTTCTTCTTTCATATTTTAAGAAACTAAAAATTCCTCAAAGTGAATAAATAATATGTCTTTCAGTCATAAGAATTGCTACCCAAAGTACCAGGACGACTGCATTAGTGTGTGCGCACGTATGCACACATTACTTGCAGCCTCTTCATCCTTCATTTACTTTCTTTTTAAATCTGGTGGATGAGGAGATTCCAGTTATTTCTGTAAAGGAGGGAATTGGGCAGTTCAGAAAATATATTTCTCTGAAGAAATGACAGCTTGTAAAAGTGACCAGAAAAGTTAAAAACAAAGTAGGAGAGAAGATACTTTATTGCAGCATTATTTCCAAACTGAAGCCTTCAGTGTACCTTCATACATTGCTGGTAGGAAAGTAAAATAGTACAGTCATTTTGGAAAACAGTTTGGCAGTTCTTTAAAAAGTTAAATTAAACAGAGTTACCACACGACCCAACAACTCCATCTAGGTGTATAACCAGGAGACTTGAAAACATATGTCCACACAAAAACTTGTATATGAATGTTCGTAGCAGCATTATTCATAAGGCAAAGATGGAAACAAGTCAAATGTCCATCAAATTATGAATACAAATATAAGCAAAAATGTGGCATTATTTATACAATGGAATAGCATTCAGTTATAAAAAGGAATAAGTATGGGTACATCCTATAACATGGATAAACCTTGAAAACCTACTAAATGAAAGAAGCCAGACACAAAAGGCCACATATTGTACGATTTCATTGAAAAGAATTAGCCAGAATAGGATATTAAATAGAGAAAGGGAATAGATTAACCCCAGAGGCTGGGAGAATAAGGAATGAGGAGTGATTGCTGATAGGTACGTTTCTTTATGGGGTGATGAAAATGTCCTAGAACTAAATAGTGGTGATGGTTGCACAATACACTAAAACCCACAGAGCTGTACATTTTTAAAGGATGAATTTTATGGTGTGTAAGTTATATCTCAATTTTTTTAATAAAAAAAAGAAAGCTAAAAACTAACTTCTTAAGGGAAATCTTCACACGAGAAAAAATAAATCCATACATCAAATGTGAAAGCATATCATATGAACAGACATAAAAGCATCTCAACAAATTCTGATTTGATGAAAAACACGTGAACATTTCAGTGGTGTTACTACTGAGGAAGGTAATCATTATTCTGGCAAAGAGTTACTGCTTCGAAGACACAGAAGTCAAGAGAATTGCCAGTGAAGAGAAAGAACTAGATCAAGAATCTGGTTTTAACACTTTCCAACTGTGTGTGGCCTTGGACAAGCCATGTAATCTTTCCATGACTCAGTTTCCCTTCCTGTAGAATAGGAATAATAACCTCTCAAAAGTTCTTATAAACCTACTAAACAAAGCAACATATGTAAAGGGCTCAGCAAACTGCCACGGACAAAGTAAGCACTCAGCTACTTAACTACACAGAAATAGGTTACCACCAAATACGTACCAAAATATAAATATAAAGAAAAAATAATTAACAGGGATATAATGTGTGTAGGAAGGCCATGGAGCAGGAATGTGGCACATGAGGAGACCAGCTTGAAAAAAACAAGAAATATGAAAAGTAAAATTTATCCCTATTTTCTACACATTCCAACTTTTGAGGATAGTTTCATTATAGCTTATTTAAAAGTTAATTATCTCTTAATCACAAAGAGATTTTTACTGAATTGAGGGCTGGGCCTTCTATACATTGAAAAAGCCAGTGGAACACAATACTGTAAACCAACTATACTTCAGTTAAAAAGAAAAAAAGAAAAAGAAAAAGTCAGTGGGACACTGTTCCAGTGGAAGATACTGATCACTAAAGAGTGGCTTATCAGGGGTTCTCATACTTTGTGGTGTTTCTTCACCTGGAAGGCCAGTAAATATGCAAATTCCTAAGCCCCATCCCAGAGATCCTGATTCAGTAGATCTGGGATAGAGCCTGATTTCCAACAGCTCTTGGGTGATGCTGATGCTTCTGGTCCAAGGACCAGACTTTACGGAGCACTGGCTTGGATAACACTACATTCTAATTGCTCAGTTTCTTCAAAAGGAAAAATGTGAATTCTCTCACTTTGGGGAAGGTTTCAGGAACTATGATTACCTTGGGATAAAAGGAAGAAACAGGGTAATTAAAAATAACAGCTAGCATTTACTAAGTGCTTACTTACATATGAAGCATTATTCTAAAAATCCTGCATAGCTTTATTTAATCTAATCCTCCTAGCCACCTTATAAGGTAGATACACTTATCCTATCCCCATTTTATAAATGATAGTGAGCCCCACAGTGGTTGAGCAATTTGTCCAATATTATATAGTCTGTGTGTTTTGCCATATATGCACTGCTGACATTTTTTAAATCCAATAGAATCCATAATATCTACTTGCTGATATAATTGTATATATATGTGTCACATGTCTGTATCAGATAAAGGTAAAGGAGAGATTATTCTTTATAAGTCTCAAATTCTAGAATTATGAAAATGAGAAAAGGATCATTTCACTGAAAAGCTGTAATTTCTCTTTTCTATCGTACAAACATATATTAATCTTCTTTTTCAAAAGGTAATCACTCTTCTCTTAAAAGAAACATTTAATGAATTTCATATAATCTGACTTCACAGAACTGAAATTATCTTTCTCTAGCCACTTCCTCGTTAATTAAGGACAACAATAGCCAAAATTCCTAGAAGACAAATTTTAACTTCTATTTTAAAATCATCTAGTGATAGAAGTGCTTATGAATCAAAACTATTTTAAACATCATTTGGTTAATGAAGGATCTTCTATTGAAAGATTAATGAGTAAAGATTACATACCTTGTTTTTAAAATAAACCTCAATTGGCAAAATGAAACCAGCATACCCAGATTCTTCTACTTTGTAAGGTGGATCTTTGCACACTGCAACATTAAAAAAGAGAAAAAAAGTGAGATGAGATTAATAGGCAAAAACACATTCTTCTTTCCTTTAAAAACACACACACACAAAAAAAATCCCATCCTACCACCTACATCATTCTCAATTTTCACAGCCCTTTGCCAAGCCCCAGCTAACTCTCTGACTTGTTCTTTACTTCTTGTTCAGAATCTACAATAATAATATTCCTATGTAAATCAAATATGTAAGTTATTTATTCAAATCTTGATGGGGGATAGTGCAACACAGTCAACCATGGTCATGAATGACTGGACTTTAGTGATTATCACCCTGCCCTAACACTTTAGGGAAACTGAGGACAGCACCTTGTGACTGAAAACTTGAAAACAACTGTAAGTTACCTAACAAACATATTATCTATGTCTAGTCTTTGATGGACATCACACTACCCCAAACCCCTCAGTTCTCTGAGATATCCTAATTTCCATACCAAAAGGTGGCAGGACCACCCTCCTTCCTTAGAGAAATCCCAAACCCAGTGTCTCCCAATGTTATTGGTGTTCATTAAGACTTATTATCCCCCATTACCCGCCAAAGGAATACTTACTGAAATACTGCAATACATACGAACACTTCAAATCTATTCACATCATAAGAATACATAAGAAACAATAAGGTTTTTGTATTCTTATGAAGAAAGACTTACTTAGACAAGACTATTTAGGCAAGCTCTTGGGAAATGAGAGATGCCCTAAGAAGCTAAATATGATTTCACCCCACTAAAATTTCCATTAAATCAAAATCAGTTGCAAGGGCTTCCCTGGTGGCGCAGTGGTTGAGAGTCCACCTGCCGGTGCAGGGGACACGGGTTCGTGCCCCGGTCCAGGAAGATCCCACATGCCGCGGAGCGGCTGGGCCCGTGAGCCATGGCCGCTGGGCCTGCGCTTCCGGAGCCTGTGCTCTGCAACGGGAGAGGCCACGACAGTGAGAGGCCCGCGTACAGCAAAAAAAAAAAAAATCAGTTGCAAGCCAACTGAGCTATTCTAGTTAAGACTGCATTCTGGTAGTATCACAAAGAATTAAAAATGTACATGTTGAACATCAAGGCCATATACCACATAGCACATAACCTGGTAGCCCAAGTCCACTTCAGCAGGGCTCCAGGCTGCCTGTTAAACCCTTCTTCCTTTTGTCACCCACCAATCCTCCTATGCTTCGTTCAATTGCATCAATTCCCCCAAAACATGCCCAGTATTTCCCACCTATGCTCTGTCCTCTTTCCTTCCATCGCACCTTGATGCTACTCTTAGTATCCTCTGCTAGTTCAAATCTCAATTTCTTCACAAAGCCTTTCCAGACCACAGAGTACTATCCTCTCTTCTCCTTTGACCCTCCCAAAGAACTGTCTGAATCACTGATTTGACACTTAACAGACTTCCTTATTATCATATATTCAGGAACCTCATCTCTAATTCCCTTTCACTCCCCAAGGACAGAAACTTTTTTAATTAATTTTTATTGGAGTATAATTGCTTTACAATGTTGTGTTAGTCTCTGCTGTACAGCAAAGTGAATCAGCTATACGTATACATATATCCCCTCTTTTTTGGATTTCCTTCCCATTTAGGTCACCACAGAGCATTGAGCAGAGTTCCTTGGGCTATAGAGTAGGTTCTCATTAGTTATCTATTTTATACATAGTATCAATAGTGTATATATGTCAATGCCAATCTCCCAATTCATAAGAACAGAAACATTTACTCAGGAACATAAGGAGTGTCAAGGGCTCAGGCATGCCTGGGTGTCAATCCGGAATCCACCTCGAGCTAGCCAGGCTACCTCTGGAAAGTTACTCCAATTTTCTGAACCACAGGTGCCTTGCCTGGACAATGTGAGAACTAAACAAGATGATGTATGTAAAAGACACAGGATAGGTCCTGGAACACATAAAGAAGTAGCAGAAGTAAGGCAGGAAATCTAACCTGTAAATACCCAATTGTCATGTAAACCTTTCGGATGAAAATAGAAAGGAGAAAAGTACAGAGCCCTGGATTTGGATTAGAAGACTCAGTTCCACGGCCCTGGACTAAGGATTCTCTAGACAGCTCTAGTTCCATTCCCTTTATATTTTTATTTTTTTAAATTTTTGGCTGCGTCGGGTCTTCATTGCTGCATGTGGGCTTTCTCCAGTTGCATCGAGCAGGGGCTACTCATCGTTGCGGTGCACGGGCATCTCATTGAGGTGGCTTCTCTTGTTGCAGAGCACGGGCTCTAGGTGTGCGGGCCTCAGTAGTCGTGGCATACAGGCTCAACAGTTGTGGCTCACAGGCTCCAGAGCACGGGCTCAGTAGTTGTGGCGCACGGGCTTAGTTGCTCCGTGGCATGTGGGATCTTCCCGGACCAGGGCACCCTACACTGGCAGGTGGATTCTTAACCACTGTGCCACCAGGGAAGCCCCCATTCCCTTTAAAAGAGAGAACACCATCTACACATTGTAAGCATGGCTATCAAGACTCAAGAAGATTATATATGTGGGGAAATACAAGTCTGAGGCATTTTTAATGCAGAGGAGGATAATGATGTACTTAAAAATTGGTTAGACACTCCATGAATACAAATATGATTACAAAGAGGTATACTGAAGACAGGATTTTAACACTTGGCAGTCTCCTGTAGCCCACCCTAGGAAAATTTCCCCAAACTGACATCAGAAAAAGTAAATGATGATGAATGAGGCATCTCACCTGACCTCACAAGTTTCTCTAATAAAAAATGAAAAAGCAAAAGGACTCAGAGTGTCTTCAGCCCTGCATCCACTGACCACCTGCCAACCTATCATGAATATTCAAATACCCTGAACACTGAGCAGGGTGCCACTAAATGCATGAGCACCCCACCCCAGCTAGAAAGATAGCTAGAAAGATACATCCATGACATTTCCAGGCTGCAGAGCCCCTTTACAGAACAGCAGTTTCAGTGTCCCAGTTGCTTGGGATTAATCATGCCAATGCCATTCGAAGGAAGTTTATTCTGTGGGCTGCTGTACATGCCAGAGAAGTTATAGCTGTTCCTCTATACACCCTTTTGTACAGTTCACTTTCTCTATTCTGCATGCAAAATGCTCCTATTATAGAAAACAGCTGTTAGTGAGCACATCTTATAGTTGAAGGTCTTAAAATTTTTCCCCACCCTTTAAAGGAAATGATCTGTTATGTATTACTATTCCAAAGAAGTCTAGTTTTATAAGAAACTGTTTACCAACTCATACCTCAATTATTTTTAAATGCGGTATTTTCATAAATAACAATGAACAATGTCTGTTGAGCACCCTGAGTTCTCAATTGGAAACAAACAATAGAAACTTTTTATTCACAATAAACATGACAGAAACGCAGTAGCAATGCGAATACAAATTTACAGTCTAATCTGAAAAAAGGTCAAATTAGGGGAAGTAGTTTATTTATTCGACTGTTTTATAATCAGAATCATCAGCATGAGTTTCTAACCTTAAGGATCTATTAAGATCTATGTAATAAGAGGCCAAATGTCATAAATTACTGAAGGGATACCCATCTATAGAAAGCCATCACATTTTTTTAGGTGACAATAAAATGGGAGGATTCATATTCATTCTTTAAACTATGCACATTAATTCAGTAGAAATCACTGGGAACTCTTATTCCTGTCAAAATCCAGCCAAAATTCTGAGATGTTGGCTCTCTCAGAACGTCTCTCTGTTCCTCTTCCAAGCTTCTCTTGTTGCACTTATCAGGCAGCCTGATAACGTTCATTCACCTCTCAGACTCCTCACTAGACTGAGCGACTTGAGGTCAGCAACCCCACCATTATTATTTGAGCACCAAATAATAAGTGCTCAATAAATATTTGTTGAATTCAATTTCTTAAAGATTCATGCCACTCTTGAGTTTGTGGTTAGCAGATACAAACTAGTATATACAGGATGGATAAACAACAAGGTCCTACTGTATAGCACAGGGAACTATATTCAGTATCCTGTGATAAACCATAATGGAAAAGAATATAAAAAACAATGTATGTATATGTATAACTGAATCACTTTGCTGTACAACAGAAATTAACACAACACTGTGAATCAACTATACTTCAATTAAAAAAAAAAAGGATTCATGCCACTCTTCACTGATCTACCATTGCTAAAGAAGTTGCCTTCTACAAGCAGCAATGATTTGATATTAGCCAGTCAAATCCCTCTCCAAACTCACTACAAGCAAAATGATCTTTTAAAAATTGGTAGAGGTGATAGAAAGTGTTGCCACAGAGTAGTAGTCTCTTGAAAGCTGAGTATCTAATGTGGGACTGATTCTAATTCCATAGTACCAAATTTTAAGAAACTGAGTTAACAAATTGCACCAGAAGATCTCCAACATCATTTTGAAACTAACACTATAGAGCCATAAATAACATTTCCCTTTTCCTCTCCTTCTGCACATTACTACTCATGTACCCCAAGGTTCTAACTAGAAGACATTCCAAAACTCCATGCAGATCTACCCACACACAACACCCAAAATTTAGGCCTGAGAGCAACAGACCAAAGTTTTCATAGATAATGAGTAATTGGGCTTTTCCCCCCCCTAAAATAGCTTTTCAAAATAATAGGCACAATATAAACCCATATACATAGTATTTAGAATGATGTTAACTATATACATTGACCATTAATCTATTTAATTTTTAAGTTGAGTGGAAAATGTACAAAAAAAAGAAAAACACATGAAAAGGAAAAAAAAGTCATGATTTGGTTAGCATGGAATAACTCAAATCCTTACTTATTACCTGAGATTTTTTTTGTGTGTGTGTGTGGTATGCGGGCCTCTCACTGTTGTGGCCTCTCCCGTTGCGGAGCACGGGCTCCGGACGCGCAGGCCCAGCGGCCATGGCTCACGGGCCCAGCCGCTCCGCGGCATGTGGGATCTTCCCGGACCGGGGCACGAACCCGTGTCCCCTGCATCGGCAGGCGGACTCTCAACCGCTGTGCCAC